CCTTAATTTGCTGGATCATCCAGCTTATGCATCTTGTTTATTTGCTTTATTGTCCCATTCCCACAACATGTATGAAAAGTGCAACAGAAACGGCAGAAGTTGTTATAATAATTGTAGTAACAAATGCTACAATTTTAATAAGAAACTGTTGACTAACATGGACCTCGTTAGCTGAAAGCTCTACTGATATTCATAGATTTTAAGACCAGAAGAGACTGTTATGGCCATCTAGTCCAACATGATGTAGATTTTTACCCTCTAATCCCTGCATCAAACCCAGTAATTTGTGGTTGAAATAAAGCCCTTCTTTTAGAGCAGTGGTTTTCAAACTACCGGTCGTGACTCAGGACAGGGTGGTGAAATGTCAGGCGCTGGGGTCTCATGGCTGCAGGGGGATCAGGTGACCAGTGGGGGCACTAAGGCAGCCTCCTGTCTGTCCTGACAACGCAGACTGAACTGCACCTCAGAAGTGATCGGCAACAAATCCAGCTCCTACGTGGGGATGGGGGAGAGAGCACAGGGCTCTGTGCATGGCCCCCACCTGAGCACTAGCTCCGCACTCCCATTGGCTGGGAACCTGCTGCTGGGGCACAGCATGGTCTGCAGTGCCAGGACAGGTAAGAAGCTGCCTTAGCAACCCCCCACTGCACCGCTGATCCGGACCCACTTAAGATAAGCCCCTCCTGCCCTACCTCTGACCCCTCCCCCCCCCAAAGCCGCAGCCCCGTCCTATCCCCCAAAGCTCTCATCTGCAACCCCACGCCAGAGCCCACACTACAGCCAAATTCTGCTGGGTCACAGACATCAACAATTTTCTTCAACTGGGTCATGAGAAAAAAAAAAAGTTTGAAACCCGCTGGTTTAGAGAGATAACCATGCTTGTGTTAAAGGAATTCAAATGACAGAGAATCTATCACAAGTTGTAAGCTGTTCCAGTGGAGGACTGCCCCTTATTGCTGGAAATCTACATCTCATTGGACTTTGTCCAACCACAACCCACTGGTCAGGTCTAAAAGCCACCTCAGAAGTTCCATGACTCAGCTGCTCTTTATTCCAAAAAGACCCTAACAAACATCTAGAGGGTGAGAAGCTTGTAGAACTAACTATCCCAGGCCAGAAGCAAGTGCTTTGATGTGGCTCATTCAAGCTGATTTTGGAAGCAATTTTGAGGTCTGAAATTAATTATCAATGGGAATAGTGTCTCTTCTGCTAGTGAGATAGAAGAGTCCCAAATAAAGCAAACTGCAGTTGTACGAATGCACATTTCTCCTGTCCTCATTGCTCCTCGTGTATTACAGCTACCCCACACACGGCAATCCACCTGTCTCTCTCCAAAGGCCAGGGAAATAAACATGCTCTGCAAGGTGTCCTGAAAGCCAACACATCTGCACTGATGTGGGAGGCCTTTGCAGAGAATGACCTGCTGGACGCTCCCTCCCTATTAGATCAAGGAGGATCTAACACATGGGCAGCAGGTATGAGAGGCGGAGGAAGACACTGCCTTCCCAAACTGCCAAGAGCGGCCCTGTCCACGCTCTGCCCCCTGCTTCGGCATGACTCCCAGGCTGCCCCCTGGCTTCAGCCACGCAGAGGCTGCAGCCACGTGCTCCAGAGCTGGGGAGGTTGGGCTGCACACTGCCTGCTCTCCCTGTGCCCTGGGGGAAGGGCTGGAGACCTGCCTCTGCAGTGGGGGGTGGCTTGTGGGGGGCTTGAGAGCGGGGCTTGGGGCCAGGCCTTGGGTGGAAGAGGCAGGGCGGGGGTGGGGGGGTTGCCTCTCCCAGCTCTAGGTTCACCCACCGCCTATGACCTAACAGCAGTGCTTCCACAAACTTCAGCTGCAGCCATGGATCCCAGGGAGAGAGGGAACGCGAAGCGTCGGATTCTGATCTCCCACTGATGTCAATCAGGAGTAACTCTACAAAACTCAGCAGTGTCACACTGGCCTGAAGTCAAAGAATGGAAAACGCAGCCCATAGCATGACCAGCGAGAGGCACAGTCCCCTTGCCTCTCGTGTTAGCGTTCATGATGCATCACTGGTGCCCTGGACGGTCTCTCTAGACCTGCAGTATGAATAATGGAGTCCTTTGCCCAGTTATTACTGCCTCCAGGGGCTTATTTTCCCTCCCGAAATTCAAGTGTAAAATCTTTCCTGATCATGTGCAGACTCTACAGTATGGCACGTGGAACCGTAGGGTTGGGCTTTTTCAACCTTGGCCTTACAGTGGACATGTGTGTTGGTGGAAAGGGTCCCCCAACAATTCAGAAGCTTGCAGGCGTACACTCTGCCAGTATACTTCAGCTTGAATCCCTACATAGACCCCTGTACATCTGCGCATAGCCGCTTTATATCTGCGGGCCTCTCAGTTTTGAAGATACAGACGTGGACACACATTTGTATCTAGAACCCTGCAAATTTGGGTATCTGCATCCGTGGCTATGGGTGTGGATATCCGTGGCTCATTTTTGTAGATATGGAGGCAGATGCAGATACAAATTGTGGATCCAGAACCCCGCAAATTTGCAGCCGTCTGCTTTATATCTATGGGTATCCGCCTCAGCGATGTGGATGTAGATAACCACGACTCATTTTTCCAGCTACGGATGCAGATACAAAATTTTGTACCCAGGCAGGGCTCTGTCCATTAAGCTGAGAAAGTATTAAAGAGTATGTAGGCTATTCAGGGCCTGATCAAAGCCCACTGAAATCAATGGAAACTCTCCTTGGGCTCTTTGCTGACATGCCAACAAGAGAGTCAACTGTGCTAGGGAAAAGTTTTGTGGTTGTTGTGGGAGCTTTTCCCCGCTGGGAACTGTACTGAGAACCATTCACATAAGCCAGTGAACAGCCATCAGATGGGTAATGACTTTGGAAAGCATTTGCAAACCTAACAATCTTTCCTGGACAGCTACAGTGTTGTGTGTGTGTGCAGGGGGGTCTACCTTATTACCCTTTTCAGTCCTCACCCCAATAGCCACTGCTGCTTTTGTTTCCTTTTAAAGCACCTTTCGGCAGCTCCCGCTTAAAGCAAGAGAGAGAAGAGGAAACAGGAAGCATTTTACTCTGCTTTTCACTCTCCCAGGCAACAGACTCCACTTGGCCAAAGCAGTTCGCTGCCTCTGAGGGCAGAGATGTTTACGGGCTGTTATGAAATGAAAAGTTTACTGGAGATACCATGAGCTTCATCAAAGCAACCATCCCCATCTGCCCTCCGCCCCCAGCAATGTTCTGCATTCTCTTAGCAAGCACAGGCCCACCAGCTGTCAGCTGGGGCTCTAGGCATGTAAACATGGGACCACTTGAAATAACTGACTCACCGTCTCCGCTGTTTACCTTCCTCAGAGGCCCGGGGGGGAAGATAAGGATTGTTCTAGCTACTTAGTCCTACAGGCCAATGGCTCTCAACCTTTCTGCAAACTGTACCCCTTTCAAGCATCTGATTTGTTTTGCCTCCCCCAATTTCCTCCTCACTTAAAAATGACTTGCTTACAAAAGCAAAGATAAAAATACAAAAAAGTGACATAGCTCACTGTTACTGAAAAATGGCTTCCTTTCTCTTTTTTGCCATGTAATGATAAAATAAATCCACTGGAATATAAATATTGTACTTACATTTCAGCATCTAGTACATACAGCTGCATAAACAAGTCATCATATGGAATTTTTGTTTGTACTGACTTCGCTAGCGATTTTTATGTCGCCTGTTCTACAACTAGGGAAATAACTAGGTGAAGTGATGTACCCTCAAGAGGATGTCTGCATGCCCTAGGGCAGTGTTTCCCAATTTTAGTTGACCACAGAACCCTTTTCAGCTTAAAAAAATGTCAAGGAACCCCTAGGACTGCCAGGGTAAAATTTGTCAAACAACAACAACAAAAGACCCACCATAATCGGTGAGCAAAAAAAAAAAAAAAAGCCGCAAAATGGACTGTCACTTTAAGAGGGGGCAGGGTTCCGGAGCACCGATTGGGGAACACTGCTCTGGGGGGTGCAGAGTCCTGGTTGAGAACCAACGCTACAGACAAATCTAGGCAGCAGGGGTCAGTCACTTACATCATTTACATTCTCAGATCAATAGCTCTACTCTGTTTGACTTAACTAAGATGGCGAGAAACCACGGTAGAATTGATAAGTGAAGCTGCCAGATAATATTCCTAAGGCCAAATTCTGCTCCCTCATGTACCAAACCAGCACAAATCCACAGTAACTTCACTGTGCTCAGCAGAAGTGAAAAATCAAATAGCTTTGACGTCACAGTCCTAGTTGTGGGATAGTTTTACATTTTTATCAGTTGTTATTTGGCTTGATACGGCTTGTTCAGGCTGTTGCCATGCAACACCGGAGACGCACAGCGTGCCAGTCAAGCAGAACAAGGTCTGCAATGCAATCGGAGATGTGACTGCAGCCAGTGTACATATGCCCATGGTGCTTTTGATACCGCCAGCTTGAGTATTAATTAGGGATGTAAAATCCTGGTTAATCAGTTAACTGGTTAAAATGTGAAGTTGACCTAATGCTGACTAAAGTGAGATCCGGGATGGGGACTAAACCGACTAAAGTGAGATCCGGGATGGGGACTGCTCCAGCCCATGGGGTTCCTGCCTCCAATTCCGTGCTGGGGCTGCTGCTGATTCTCAGCTCCCAGACTCTGCTGGAGCAGCCACGGTGAGCCCCCTGCAGGGTTGGAGCAGCCTCCTGCCCACAGCAGGCGAGGCAGCCGCTCTAGCCTCCACTGGTTACTGGTTAACCGGAACCACTAAACATTACCCATTTAGGGTGACGCTTACTAGCAGCATGGCCTGGACAAGCTAGGTAAGTTCTCGGGTGCCTAGCTCGTGCTCCACCTTCACCTCTACTGTAATGTGAGCAATCAAGATCAAAGCTAGTTCAAATATCTCTATACATACTTCAGAGGTGCAGCCCATAGATGTACCCTCTGAGTGTGGTCCATGTCCTTAGATGGTCAGTGAGTTTGAAAGCAAGCAAGCTTACCTAGTTTACCTTATTTTCATTGGGATCAGTTACTCGGTCTAGTCCGTACTCCAGGACGTCTTGCATGCCGGGCTGTTACAAAAAAGAAGCAACAAGACGCTTGTGTCTGCTTTTTCAAAACCATTTTAGCCACAGGGAAAAAAATCTGCTGCTAAGGAATAATTTCTCCAATGAGTGAGAAAAAGGTAAAGAAAACTCAGATTGATCTTTCTTGAGATGGCCATGGGGCTTGGCTGGGGGACCATGGGAATGTATATAGGAAACCCTAGTCAACAGAGACAGCTATAGAAAGAATAACCATGAAGCCCTCTAAACAGAGGTAAGACCGTGCGGCCATCCAGGAAAGATGTAATAGCAGAGATTCAGAAACAAAATACAGGACTATGTAGCACTTTAAAGACTAACAAGATGGTTTATTAGGTGATGAGCTTTCGTGGTCCAGACCCACTTCCTCAGATCAAATAGTGGAAGAAAATTGTCACAACCATATATACCAAAGGATACGCCAGACTAACACGGCTACATTTCTATCACTATTCAGAGATTCAGAGACATCCAATCATTGCAGATCAAATAGTACATATACTATGCTCACTCCAGCAATAATCTATGTAGAGGAGACACTCTTTGATATAAGCAATGAAAAGGGACAAGTGGCGTTTACAAGTGATTTTTGAGTTGTTACTTAGACTCACCAGAGTTAGAGAATAGTCAATAATTAAATCTGGGGAGTGAGCTCTTACGGGGAAAATGGAGAAACAGACCAGGAAAAGAAGGACTTAATCAAAGTTTAAATTAGAACCAAATTCAGCCCTGGAATAACCAAAGGGGATGCATCGGGCATGAATTAGTGGCGAAGGCATTTGAGCGGTGCAAAGAATCTCCCACCATACTCTTTATCTGCAATCAAAGCTCGAAAGACAGGCTGACATTTGCCTCAGGCTTGAAGCTCTCTCTGTATGTGCACTGCCGGGTTCTCCCCTGGCCACTCAGATACAATTCAACCGGCGTGTTGATTATGACTGGGATGAGGGAACGTAGCTCCCGGGTACACGTCAGAGTCTGACCGCACACTGGGACCAGCGTGGCTTCACTCAGGAAGCGCCCTGGTGACATCTGTCTCCAAAATAACAGCCCCCCTGGGGCACAAGCAGTTAGGATGATCTGTTCACAGCATGGATAGGGCAAGCGAGTTCTTACTTCACCTTTAAGAGCAAGTCCTAGGGGTTCAGGAAATTAGTAAACAGAGACAATTCAAGTCTCTTTTTTGCCTCAAAGTCCATCTCTGCAGGCCTGCCGAGGGGGAGGGAGGGAGGGCAAAGAGGACAGTTGCCTCGGGGCCTGGAGAGTCAAACGGGACTAGAGCTCCCAGCTGCTGCTAATGCTACTGCGGCACAGCAGACAGAACACTAGGCCCTTTAAATCACCACAGGAACATCATACTCTGCTCAGCACTCAAGGTTGGGGTGAGGGGACCCTCACCATGGTCCAGGCAGTGCTGAGGGTTGCCTGGGGGTCGGCATGGTACGTTCCGGGTGGCACTCAGGGCTGGCTGCCCAGCCTTGCCCAATCCACCTGAGGCCTCGCCCCTTCCGGGAGCAGAAGCCGGGCCCTCCCCACACCTTGCCCAGGTAGGGTAACCAAATGGTTTAAACTAAAAATACCGAACACCCCTCCCCCCCTCAAAAACAGACACACACACACACACACACACACACACACCCACGCACACACACACACCAGGGAAAAAATTCTATTGAGGAAAAAAAAAGGGGGGGGGGAAACAAAGTTGTTGATTTTTTAAGTGAAGAGTTAAGCTTTCAAGTTTTTATAAATAAAAATAAAACAGCATGGCCCCTTTAAGAAAAGCCTTTGAAGCTTTTTGCCAGCAGCCATCGTTTTCCTGATCGAGCCAGAAGATAGCTTCCCTGCGGAACCCTGCAGAACCAGGTAAGCAGGGGAGGGTCTGAGGGAGCTCGGAGGGCCCAAGGGAGGTTCGGGGGGCCCTGGGCCCGGTTACTGAGTGTGTCATAGGGTTGCCAGGTGTCTGGTATTTTCGCCTCCTGGCAGGGGGAAAAAAAATCAGAAAATACCGGACATTTTAGGTGTCCGGTATTTTCTGAATTTTTTTTACTGGACAGGAGGCAAAAATACCAGACTGTCCACGTCAGTACCGGACACCTGGCAAGCCTATGTCCAGGGGCCCATGGAGGCTGGCTCCACTTCTGTGGCAACTGGCCCAACTCAACCCTGAAGGCAATGCCCCACGGCTGCCTTCTTAAAGGTGCAGTAAGTTGCTCCTGGCTGAGCTCTCTGGACCCTGTATCACCAATATAGACTTTACAGCTGCGAAGGATGATATTCTACTTACAGGTGTTCGATGCACTAGCCAATAGGCCTTCTCCTGACAATCCAGAGCGTACCTGTCTGCCTTCTTCCGTTCCTTTCCTGTCCTGCAAAGCACAGAACAGGGTTTCATCCCAGCCGAGGAAAACGTGGGTCACTTTTCCCTTTCGGCAACCTATTCTTGCCCATCAGCCCCCCAGGGAATTTTCTCTTTAAAAACTAGCAAGATCGAGAACATGATCCTGTTCTGACATTTCCTTGGCTTCCTGACCCACAGGCTCACCAGGCTAAATTCCTCAAGTCAGGAAGGCTGCTTCTTTAGGCCACAAGGAAACTCTGCTATTTCCTGACTGCATGTCATCACAAGACCTTCCAGTCCTAGTATTCTATGAATCCTGAAGGGAGGTTCCAAAGAGGATGGAGAAAGGCTGTTCACAGTAGTGATGGACGGCAGAACAAGGTCTCAAGTTGTGGTGGGAGAGGTCCAGGTTGGATATTAGGAAAAACTATTTCACTAGGAGGGTGGTGAAGCACTGGAATGGGTTACCTAGGGAAGTAGTGGAGTCTCCATCCCTAGAAGTATTTAAGTCTCGGCTTGACAAAGCCCTGGTTGAGTTGATTTAATTGGGATTGGTCCTGCCTTAGGCAGGGGGCTGGACTTGATGGCCTTCTGAGATCTCTTCCAGCTCTATGATTCTATGATCACGTCAACACCCTATCATCTCTCAAGCCCCCAAATCAAGAAGAAGGTAACAGAGTTTGAGAACACTCACCTATACTGCTCTTTGGCCTGCATAACAACAAAATCCCATTTGTAGTTTATTTTTTTATTTAGCAAGTTGTAATGTTCCTGAAATAAAATGAAAACCTGTTACTATACAATGATTAAAAACCTGTTACTATAAAATGTCACAATTGTGACACGCCTGGCAATTTCCTGCAGTATCCTTTGGAAGACCTTATTATATTGAATTTATGTATTGCTAGAGATATACCCGGCGTTGCTTGGGTAACAACAATACCGTTCATTCCAGAGCTTTCGTCAGGCAGAGCATGATAAAAACATGCCATCCTCTCCGAACCACACAAGAGACGGGCTGGCCGTTTGAGCTAGAAAATCTGAATGGCTCTGAAATGAATTCCTAGGAATGACATGCATTCTGAACATTTGATTCCGACATCCTGGAAAAGGTACCACTAACACGATCGTTTACTTTAAGGATTTTTGTGCATCAGCATCTATTCCACATCCACATCCATTCAGAGGTGCCACTGGGCCAACATGGGGTTTACACTGGCAGCTTTTTGTCACTTTTCCCCTTTCCCGTCTAGAGAGCAGCTGGCTCTAGCTAAATCAGCCTCCAAGCTCACAAAAGCACAAGCACTAGAACAACTTCTTACCTTTTCATACTCTTCTAACATCCCTTTCCTCTTAATATTTTTCTTGGCTAGGTAGATTGCTGGGAGAAAAGCAAAAAGGTTCCGTTACTCGGCAGATTGATCCAGCTAGTCCATGTAATTGACATGCTGACCCCATGGCAAAGGAGTGGAGCTTTGTCCCTTGTGATCTTTCCTAGACCCAATCTTTCCCAGATCTTTTCACAGAAACCCACGCTAGGAAGAGACCCATTCTGTCAAGGACGTGCCACTTCTCAACACAGCTGTGGAAGAACAGCTCTCCTCCCTCTCTCTTGAGCTTGATGTGATTAATTATGCAGTTATATGCCAACGAATTATTCCTCGTTTAAGGCCTCGGCCAAAGTACACTGAAGACAATGGGAGGGTTTCAATATGTCTTCAATCGGCACTGAATCAAACCCTTAAAAGAGTTGGGATTTTTTTTCTGATTTTAGGGGCAATTTCTTTTTTTATTTCTAAAGCTTTTTAAATATTTTCTGTTAACATTTAAAACTCAAGTGTATTATTTTCAGAAGGACAGTCCTTCAGAGTGCAGGACACATATATAAGGGACAAAAATATCAGCTAAACAAAAGCTGGTGACCCAGGGCTGAGAACAGGAGCAGCCTGAGACTGGCTGCGGCAGCTGGCGCTCCAGGTGGAAGGCGCGATCGGCGCCCCTACCTGCATGGCCGTCAATGGTCATGACGTAATCACGGGGCACCCTGGTGCCCCGTGACATTATAATTGGGCGCCCGGGCCAGCAGTGCCCTAGGCAATTGCCTAGTTTGCCTAGGCTCACAGGCCGCATCTGGCTGAGGAGCAACTTGGCTATGAAAAAAAAATCATTGTGTACTCTAAACAGCCCTAGAATAAATAAGCAGAATGATCAGCCCAGTCTTCATAAATAGTCCTACTAGGGATATGACTAGTTAGCCGGTTAACCCTTAATGGATAAGGCTAACTGGTTAAGGTTTACGGATGGGGGCTGAAGTAGTTCTCTGCCTGCTCTGGGCAGGGGACTGCTCCACCCCCACGGGGGACCACAACAAACCCCCTGCAATCAGGGGATGCTCTGGCATCTGTAACAGTCTCTGTCTGTGGTGGACCCCTTGCAGGTGCACCCCTCCTGCCTGAGATGGGTGGGGGGAGCCACTCCAGCCCATGGGGATTTTACATCCCTAAACCCTACAATAACAAAACCTCACCAATGAAGGAAAACAACTGATACAGAGACTGGTTTGGGTTTCCAGTTCACAAGGGGTTATCGCAAGTGACTGTAAAACTGTACAAACAGCAGAAAGCGGCCGTTTAATGGAACGTCTATATGACCCAACTCCTGATCCAAAGCCCTTGCAAGGCTTCATGATGGGCATCTACCTCCCATTGACTTCTCGGTGGGGTTAGGCATCTAATTCCTAGGTGTGTGTGACGGGGCGAGGCAGCCCCGCACTGAACCTACAGGGCCCAGCCAGGGTTACCTGGCTGCAGAGGCCCCTCCTCCACAGCCCTACCGAGCATGCCCGGGCTGCAGCAGGGCTATAAAAGCCTGGGCCATGACTCAGTCAGAGGAGACAGCCGAAGGAGAAGGACTGGAGAGGGGAGCTCCCCCTCAGCTGTGGCCAGGGACTCCAGGAGACGCCGGACGGACTGTACAAACAGCAGAAAGCGGCCGTTTAATGGAACGTCTATATGACCCAACTCCTGATCCAAAGCCCTTGCAAGGCTTCATGATGGGCATCTACCTCCCATTGACTTCTCGGTGGGGTTAGGCATCTAATTCCTAGGTGTGTGTGACGGGGCGAGGCAGCCCCGCACTGAACCTACAGGGCCCAGCCAGGGTTACCTGGCTGCAGAGGCCCCTCCTCCACAGCCCTACCGAGCATGCCCGGGCTGCAGCAGGGCTATAAAAGCCTGGGCCATGACTCAGTCAGAGGAGACAGCCGAAGGAGAAGGACTGGAGAGGGGAGCTCCCCCTCAGCTGTGGCCAGGGACTCCAGGAGACGCCGGACGGGACGCGGAAGCGAGGTGGTGCAACCCGGAGACTGCCTGCCGAGAGGACGCCGGTCTGGAGATCACAGCCAGCTGGGCAAGTCCAGGGGAAGGAAGCCCGGGGATCCAGGTAGGAAGTGGCCCAGGGCAGGAGCGGGAG